AGCGTCTTTGTTTACGATGTCGCGGACTTTAACACGTGCGCGGTTTTATGATACACCGATGCAGGATAATCTTGTTCATTTTGGCTAGCGATATCGCTTTGCGGACAGTATGTATCATTATAATAATTATTACTCCGACATGAAAAAGATTGGAATAACAAATATAAATCATTTTAGAAATCTAATTTAAAAATGTAAATTAAAAAATGTAATGGATATTCAATATCTCTAACTTTCTTTTTATCGATATTAATAACCGTATAATGATAACAAAGTATTCCGTTTATGAAAAAGAGGATCTTATTCTTGTGTATTATGTTTAATTATTGGCCGCGAAAGAAAAAATAAACGAGAAATGATTGAATTTTCCAAATAAATGATAACTTTATTCGACCGTTTCCGTTTGCAGTGAGGTGGTTTTTAGCGAATGAATTATATAGATGCATAAATATTACAAACGTGACATAGACATGGCTATTACAATATTTCGTAAGCTTGCATATCAAACATATATATTCGTAATTTCAGCAATGTGAAATGTGTGAGACAACCGTTTTCCAAATTTTGAGCGTAGCAGAAACTGCTGTGAGGCAGGTAGACCGAGGGCTGTGTATAACGAGTGTCTCCTGCATATACAGTACACACTCAGTCAGTATCCCATAGTGAGACGACGTGATTCCGCTCGAGTGGTCGCGCCTCGGGCGCAAGTCACCCCGCGATCGTTGGCCGCAGATCGCGGGCCCCGTAGTGACATCACAAAAAATCACGGCGCCGCTTTCCGGCCGGATATCTTTCAATTACCCGTTAATATGATAGGCGGCGGCGGGCGTAGTTGCAAGTCACCGCCGCGTCGTTGCCGACAACGTGCGCGCACACACAATCGCACACATCGAACCAAGTGTACATAGTCGATCGAATGTACACCCGATGGTGTGCATGTATGTGTATGTGTTTTATGTGTGTGCGTATGTGATTAATCGACGTCAACCGCAGACCACGGCGCGAACCTTGTCGAGGGAATCGCCGGCGATTCGTTGACACGTCGATTCGCGGTTTACGCGCGCCGAAATACCCGCTGCGAAACGAAATTTATGCCTCGAACGCACGCGAAGATCGCCGGCCGGATGTTGGCGGATGTGTTTGCGTTGCGAGAGCAAACGTGGTTACAATATTACTGGAGCACGTCGTAGCCTAATCGCGCGTCCTGGTAGACGGCCAAGTCCGGGCTCTGCGCGGAGTGTTTTCCGATCATGATATCATAGGGTTGCGTACAAAGTGAAATCTACACACGTGATCTTGGCAGTCGTGAGTGTCGACTTAATTTTATAGCGACCGCGTAGACCGGCTGAGAAAACTAACAGCTTTCGGGAGGAAAGTGAAACTGGTTTCGTATCCTTGTTTTATACCGCGGTTGCGAACGGTTGGAAAATAATAGAAAATAAAGAGAAAAAAAACCAAAAAGAGATTAACGATACATGCATGTTAGAATTTTATAAATAAACGCGTATAACTATTTCGATTGCGAGATACACGAAGGATCCGATATTGCGTACTGTAATTTGCGAAAAGCGAACGCGGCGAAAGTATTTCGTCTCTCGTGGATAAGGCCGGCTGTCCTTTCCCATGGTCGGAAAATGGAAA